AAAAAACTGTATGACCCTTTCATAAGCCGACCCTATATTTCAGGGGTTGGCAAACTTTGGCTACTGGCCCGTTAGGCTAAGCCTCTAGCGGGCCTGGACGTTTTGTTTACCTCGAGCGTTCACAGGCACGGAGCCCCTCAGCTCCCAGTGGCCGCGGTTCGCCGTTCCCAGCCAATGGGAGCTGCGGGAAGTGGCAAACCGCAGCCACTGGGAGCTGAGGGGCTCCGTGCCTGTGAACGCTTCAGGTAAACAAAACCCCAATGTATTCAATTCAATAGAGTTTAAAATCATCAAATTTTGGTGTAGACCCGTTTATAAGCTGACTCCCGCTCTTTGATGCGTCACTTTTTTACCAAAAATACTCAGCTTATGAACGAGTATATATGGTACGTAGAATTGTTCAAAGTGATGTACAAACTTTAGTTCTGACCCACATGAGATACAGAAAGTATCTCCATTTTTATTTGGAGAAACTGAGGAAAAGAGCTATAGTGACTTGCCCAAAACCATGAGTCACTGGCAGAGTCAGACTTGGAAATCAACAGTTTTTGATTTGTACATAGAGTTGGATTCTCCAAGAATATGCTGTTTCTCAAACAGGGATGTGATAAAGACTGCTCAATTTGCAGGTATCTATTTTATTCCATAGGAAAAACCCCACTAGAAATAAATAGCTTCAATGGATATGGCCATAGCTATTTCAGGTGTGCTGTGACTATATTCAAATTGCACTGTGGGGCTCTCTCAGTAATCACTTACAAGAGCCTGCTTCGATTCTGAAGTCATGCTGCAGCGCACTCCCTGGCACAAATAAAATGTGCAGTTATTACAATAGTTATCAGGATAAGTTTAGAAGTATTTTATTTTTTAGACAAGGCTAAAGCTTAGAACACTAACCCTAAATAGCCAGATTTAATTCTTCAAAACAGACAACAAAAAGGTTGCTTTTACACCACATTCTCCATTCCCACTTTTTCTTTTTTCAAAATCAAGCAAACATAGCCACCCTGATGCTAAACCCCAACAAACGCTACTCCTGCTCTAGAGAGACAAGGTTGGTGAGATACTATCTTTTACTGGATCAACTGCTGTGGGTGGGGAGACAAGGTTTCGACCTTACACAGAGTTATTTTTGACCTGAAGGAGAGCTCTGTGTAAGCTTGAAAGCTTGTGTCCCTCACCCACAGAAGTTAGTCCAATAAAAGTTATTACCTCACTCACCTTGTCTAATATCCTGGGACTGACACAGCTACACCACCACTGCATACTCCCACTCTAGTCAACTCCATTTCTAGTCCCAGGCTCCTCTCTTGCTTCCACTCCCTAGTTGGTACCTTCCTTCCTCCGCTATTCAGATTTGTCTCATTCAAAGAGCAGTGGAATTTGACCAATTTAAAAAATAATCTCCACATTGACTAATAAGGTTCCTCCCATACAGCTGCAACTTACAGAATGCTTGACATTATAGAATGTTCTTTCAAGCTTAGTATCTGAGTGGCACTGACCAATAGCACTGCCATCACGTGTTATGGCTATACACACATGTACACAGGTTTCCAGTGCACATGCTCACGGAGTTCCTAGACATCTCAACATGTGTGTAAGTACTATTTTAGACAACACTCCATGTCAAGAGAGCAAAATGTCAGAGACAAAAATTTCAGTAGATATTCATCAAATCCTTAGCGGATATCAGAACAGATGGCTAGTCGGACAAAGTACTAGAAACCATGAGCTAAAGATTCTTTTCTTCAAAATCTAAAGCAATTGATGGCACATTTGGGAAGGAGGATATGGTGAACAAAAAAGAATATTTCACTTCCCTTCTATAACAGTTTATTTCCCTTCCTTCCCCTCGCATTACAATCTTTTCTTAATTAGACTGATAAAAATGTCCCCAACTCAGTTCTGGGGTCATACAGGGATGAAAAATTCTTTAAGTAAAACAATTTGATGTACAGTAGCTGAAAATCATTATGAAAACATTTGTAGAATCAGACAGGTCCACGGGGTGAGCGGGATTTATTTATATGGGCTCTTCCTCCAGCAGATAAGCATGGCTTGAATTTGTGTATCAGAAAACAGGATATATAAACAGGCCAACTCATCTATGCTTACCACAAAAATCCATAAGCCATGGAGCTACTGTAGCTTTTCAGGGAATGGAAAGAACTGTATTTTTCTAAACTGATTCAGGCCTTTAGTTGTTACTAGTCAGCAATCACAGAAAATGAAGTTTTTGCACAAAACATAGATGCTAAATATTTTATGAAACAAGAAAAAAAAACTAGAATAGAAGATTTATTGCCAGTAAAAATAATTCCACAAACAGTTTTCACTAACTCTAGTCATAATCTACTTAAGTTTGGTGGTATTTGATCAGATACAAGTGATGTGTACATTTCAAAATTTCCTTAATCAGGAGAGGAACAACACTATGAAGCTGTTGAGATTTGTTTAAATTATATTAATAAATATCCGTTTGGAAAAAATTTCTATTTGTCAATAGATATTTCACCTTAAAGCCATGCTAATGATCATATCTCCAGTATTTCAGGATTCTGACACCATGTTACCCAAGCTTCCTCATGGTTTTCCATCTCATCTTCAAGTAATGACATCACACTGATTTAAAGGTTTAACAACTGAACACACATTATTTGACTAGTCATTGACTAGTCTTTGTATTTTTTTTGGTTTTTTAATTTTTTTGTAATTTTTTTTTAAACCAGCTTCAAACCGACTGAGTGGCTCTTCGGTAGCATTTTCACAGCGCTTCTCATCAAGGAATTTGACAAATGAGGTAAGCATTATTATCCCTATCTGTCAGACACAAACTGTTTTTCTGCATACCAGGTATGCGCTTTTAAACTGCAAGGGTTGATAAATACATTGGTTTCAATACTTTAAAGAATTCCAGGAACAGAAGTTAGTTCTTTCTCACTGATGTTCAGGTATTACATATTAAATGGTGTGCATGTTTTTATTGCACAGCAGTGTATTTCTTTATCCCGACAAAATAGCTTCAGGTGAAATCTTTACTGCTTTCTATGCAGCCTAACCTCAGCAATGAGACTAAACTAAATGCATTATGGTTTCTACCACAGGCAAAATTCAGAGATTTTATTTAGAGTTCCTGGTACAAAATAATCTCTCCAGCAAATCATTTTTCTAAATGCACTAATCCTACACTATTCTCATTTGATCAAGTTCCTCCTGCCTGGTGGTACTGACCCAGGCTATTCTCTCTAGACCAAGAACTACACATTTTCTATGTTTAGATATTAAGTACTAAGACACACTATGTTTTCTCTCTTTGAGGCCTGAGTTCAAATTCAGTTTAGCAAGAGGAGCCTAAAATTAAACTAGTAAAACTAAATCAATCTGTAAGGTGAACCAGCAAAGGGAAAAAAAAAAGGTAGCACCAACCAAATTGCACTGTTACCTCGATATAACGCGACCCGATATAATATGAATTCGGATATAAAGCGGTAAAGCAGTGCTCCGGGGAGGGGTGGGGGGGGCGGGGCTGCGCACTCCGGTGGATCAAAGCAAGTTCAATACAAGTAACACAGTAAGATTTTTTGGCTCCTGAGGACAGTGTTATATCAAGGTAGAGGTGTAGTACTATCAAGCCGTCACAAGCAAAACATAGCCAGCAGCAGTTAAAAATGTTTAAAGTTTAATACCAGGATAGGAGTCAGGATACTATGCAGAACACATTTCTACGTATGAACTGCCATTCACTACCATCAATTTAAACAAAGAACTCCCATTTTTGTCCAAGAGTTCTGCTGTGGATTGAGGGAAGCATATGACCCTATAAATATAACTGTTTTCAGATCAATACAAAACTCAGCATTGTAGTGAACATATGCAGGATCCATGCTTCAAAGCTGCCACAATTAAACTTAGGTCATCACCCAACAGTGAAGTGAGCACGTGGGGCAGCTGTCAAAACCAGTCATTCTATTCCTCATGCTACTAGCTAAGAATTAATGCAAAATATTCTACCCTCTCCCACCAAACCTCTCTCGGTCCTTCAAAAAACTCTACTCCCCTGCAGAGGGACATGAACTTTCAAATTAGTTTTCCTGAACACATTTAGACTACATGTCTAATAAGATGCTCAATCTCAATATAAGAATGAAAAGTTGGAAGTTAAACAACAATGCAAATTTAGAGTCCTATTTCCCCCACACAATGGTTTTGCTTAAAATATCATATGGTGTTGATGTAAAGCTTACTTTTCTGAGAATATCTTTCAGCTGCAGATGATCAGGAAGCAGTCTGCCAGAATACACCAGTCTCTGATCCTTTGTAGACTACGAGATAGGACAAAGAGAGGAATTTAGCTTTTTTCCAGCTGTACAGATTTACGGCTGGAAACATTTGTAGATGAAAAAAAAAAAAAATCCCTTGCAAATTCCCACCACCTACAGTTAGTCTGCAAAACACATTTCAGTGGTTTTGTAATTTCAACTGTTATGGAAAATTGCTGACAGTGCATAACAAAAGATGGGGGGATCCAGGTGTGGGATGAGAGGGTTCTGTGTTGGTCAATCTGAGTGCGGGTGGCTCAGTGAGGGATCTGGGTGTGGGGGAGATCTGGATGCACAGGGGCTTGTTGGGGGTTCCTCTAGGTGCAATGGTAATGGGACTCTGCAGGAGGGTCCAGGTGAAAGTGGGTCGGGCTCAGCAGGGGGGTCTGGGTGTGGGGTGGATAGAGCTCAGCAGTGGGGGATCCAGGTGCAGTTGGTTGGGGATTGGGGTGGCTCGTCGGGGTGGTCCAGGTGCAGGGGGAGTGAGGCTCATTGTGCGGTTCTGAGTGCAAGGGGGTGAGGCTCAGCAAGAGGGTCTGGATATGAGGGGGTCAGGATGCACAGGGGTTGGGTGGATGGGAGAGCAGCTCTCTCTACAAGGATCCTTCCCCCTGCAGCTGAGAAGCGATGGGTGCAGAAAGCATGGGAGTGGGGGGGGGGGGGAGTTTGCAGAGTTTCCTACAGCTGGGGGAGAAATCTGGGGGTGGGTCTGACACAGCCCCAGATGCCGTGCAGGTGAAGAGGGAGTCCCAAACTCCCCAGCCCAGCTGGAACTAGCAGATGAGTCTGGTGCAGGGTAGGAGCCACCAGCCAGGTCTTCCCCAGTCCCGCGTCCTTACCCACAGTGATTTCTCTCTCTGCCAGCTGCCCTGGGCACCCGAAACATACTGCTGGGGATGGTCGCATGACCCCTCTTGTGGCTTCCCTTTGTTTCCCTGTCAGAAAGTTATTTTTCTGCAGGGAAACAAAGAAATCTGTGGGGGACAAATTCTGCGCATGTGCAGAATTTCCCCAGGAGTAGAAAGTATATGTGGGAGACCAAGTTACGCTACTACAGCACCCAATGTGATTTTTATATGTCACCACTGGTATCAGGCACTTTATGCAGAAAAGGACCCCTTTGGTTTTACCTTTGCTGGTCAGATTAAAGTGTTTTAACTAAATTACGAAATCATACTATAGCCTTGGTGAAGTTCACAGTATGGTTCCATTTATAAAGGCAAAATGTAAGTAGTTTTAACAGTTTCAGGATACCACTAGATCCCTGAACAGCTTTCTAGTTTAAATGGGTCCTGAAGCCTTATCTACAGTGGGAATTTTTTTTTAAAAAAAGTTCCCCACCTTTGCTAACTTCACTTGAACAAGCAAGCACAAGCAACATTAAGAATCCTGGGGTAAAAAAAGATTATAACTGGCAAAGTTTTTCAGCACACCTAATATGCTCCACATCAATATGGAGCAAGTGTTGCTGACATGATGCTTGATGTAAACCACCACCCAAACCCCTAATTTAGACGAGAGCTAACATTTGTTCAACTGAACCTGTTATCAGTGTACACATTGCTTAAGATTCTGCATTCCTTTTCCCCTTCTCTTAATATGCAGCTAAGTATGCAGTCTCATATAAGTCACTATTCAGGACCAAAGATCTTGCTGAGATCCAGATTTCTAATGCAAAATATTTTTTTAACATCCTTTGAGACCATCTTTGTATGCCTCACTGCAGCAGAAGGCAATACACACATTTTTTTTGCAATCACCTTTATAGGCTCCCCTGTAATTTAGCAAGCTGTACTCCGGACACTACACTGGTACAGATTTTTCTTCTGGAAAAAGCCACATCACTACAAACATTTAGAACAATACTGGGCAAAGAATTAGAAAATGTACTGTAGTGTAGAGACTTGCCCTAGATTACCTAAAAAAGTTTCCTTCCAACTCCAATTTCTGATGTACCACATTCAATACAGTCACACTAGAAGGTCATAGCAACATATCAAATATAAGCTGCCTCAAAAAAAGAAACCCATCAGTGACAGAGAAGGAAGGCAAAGTTTACTGCAGGAGATATGGGTGGAGAACATCAGACATAAATGCACAAAACTAGTTTTGTCCTAGCAACCAAAAGGTGGAAACTGTACTGAAAAATAGTGACAAAACAAGTCCTAAGTGCCATCTTCACATTGTAGAGTCCACTTTAGACAGAAGACAGTAAGTTATACTGCCCCATTGGTTATTGGCAAGTGTGGGCAACTTTTTCTGTATTGTAGCACACTGACTACATTCTTTCCACATTTCACTGCTAGGACTAATTTCTGTTAAGAAAACATTCATAATTTGTAAGTTTTTACTCTCCATGCTTAGTGCCCTTGGCTTTGACCCATCTTATTTAATTAACATTGTTTTGAATAGAGCTGAAAGGTGTTTGTTATATAAGAACTTCATTGAACATAGCATCCTATTGTTATAAAACCTCGGCTTTCAACATCACAGAAACAAGCATCACAGGAATAGAGTTAACTATCGCAGCAAAGATAGTACTAAAGACCATATTTTTGTACTTACAACAAGATTTAAAAGTTCTTTGGAAACATAGACAAAAATCATATCACAAGAAAAATGCCACAGAGGATTTCTGAAGAATCCAGAGGGCTTACCTCATAAGATTATAATGCAAGATTAAAAAAAGAAGTTTGACCTAAGTATACAGTATATAGCGCGGAGGGGGGGGGGGGGGGAGCTGAAATCCCTTAAAATGAATAGGAAGCCAGTACACGTTGCTTTCTGTTTTTTTTCTATGAGGTAGTCTCCTGCATGGTCAAATACAGGTGCCCTGCTTTGGTAACTTTATATAAGAAGTTCTAATACATGAAAAATTGTTTTACATCATCTAGTTACCAACTGCCTGCTCAAAAGCTATATAATTAACAAACAATAATTCTCTGGCATAATCCTTAAACTGAGTAGATTCTTGAGAACAAAACACCTAGAATATTTCTTGTCTAGTAAAAATCCAATAAATCCCCTTGCACAAACTTAAACATGTAACTGCACTTCTAATTAGCCTATGCCAGTAAAAAACATTTACATCTTGAGAATGACATGAATATTTGCTAATCTAAAGTCTCTAGTTCAGTAATTCCTAGTGTGGTTTATGCCTTTCCAGTCTTGCGTCTCCAAAAGACATGCAAATTTTTTTGCTGAGTTTATTTATACTAACAAAAGTAATATCTGGAGCACTACTACAGAGCTCAATTTCTCAATACTACTGTCTACTTTATATAAGAAGTAACCTACAGCAAAACCATTTCTGCACTATATGGTCAGAGTTATTTATGGCTAAGAGTAAAGACAATTCTGAGGATAGCATCTCTACAGAATTTGGTAATGGACTCAGTTTCCTAAAGGAAATTCCTCTGTTTCTCGTCGAGCATCTCTCTTTGGTAGGTGGTAGAAATTCAAGTTTTTGACACAAGTATGGTTTCTCCCATCCCATTTTTCCACTGAAATTTAAATAAAGTCCTTCAAATGTGACTATTAAGAAAATATGGTCATCAATCTAATTTAAGCTTTGCCCATGTGCTCATAATTCATTTACCATCAGAAAAAAGGTTAATTCACTAAAAACTACATTAACGTGAAGTTAAGGTTGTTAACATCCATTCCTAAATAAACACAAAAAAGAAGATGCCAAGATTTCAACCTTCGAAATAACCTTTTTCCATACACAAGGTATCAATATTCATAAATACAAAAGAATAGATGCATGCACTGTAATGGTTTGAATCTAGGATCTACCATACTAGAATCACCTTTTGAAAACACAACTCAGTTTTTTTCCAAAGTATTTACACCTACAAGTAAACTTATCCCTTGGGGAAGTTGTGATTCAAGTGACTTGTCTATAAAAACTGCACTAGTTTAAATCGGTTTAAAATGTACAAACACAAATCAATTTAATCCTCACTTAAATCCATTTATCTTAATTCAGTGAATTAACAATGCAGTCTAGACAGATTTTAGAAATGATTTAACTGGTTTAAGAGCATTTACATTAAGAGTTTGCACTGATTTAACTGGGGCCTTTTTATAACAACATAAATTAGTACAACTGTTCTAATACAGACAATGCCTGAGTCTTCAGAATTCTGGGGTCCTTTGCATCATAACTGGGTTACTGACAATCTCTTGCTCTTAGCTTCCCATTATGTTACCACATGAAAAAATACCCAAAAGTTAAAACATGGATTAGAAATGATATATTAAACTTATGACAAGAGGCAACACTCTTGATTGTGAATCAATGTTAGTTAGTCTCACATTTGTTACTTTTATTTTGTAATACTAATTTTATAAATAAAAATTCTTTCAATGGCTGGTAAATCTAAGGAGGGGATAAAACATTTATCATTTTTAATATGCCATAAATAAGTATGACTTGACTAATGGTATAACAATGATCTACGAGGGTCATATAAAACAGCTTGAAACGTTTATAATCAGTAAGTGATGGCAATTGATTTCTCCCTTCCATCACTAATTGAAATTGAGAGAGGAAAATGTTATGCCTATATGCAGCACTTGTGAACTAGTGCATCTTTTGTTGGCATTTTAACAAATATTAAATTATTTTATTTCTAAATCTTGTTTCTCAAACTTCTACAGTCACTAAAGTCCGACAAAACAGTGTAAAGCATTTTTCTTTTAAAAAGTTTTAGTAGTGCAAAATTTAAATTGGACTTGGAAAAAAAATTAATTTCCAGAACTCATTAGTAAATTAAACCTTTCCAAGCCTACATATAGCTAAGATAAGTTTACCAGTTTTACCCAACTTTTATTAGAGGGGAGGGGAGGAGAAAACTTCTAAAACCGAAATACTTTCCATACTGTTTTATAGGACACCAGATTTTTTTTTTTTAAAAAGGCTCCTTTAATCTGTGACCATCAATCACAACCTAAAACATATGCAGTAAATCCCACTCCAACTGACACTTGAACTTGCTGAATTAGTTAACAGTAACTGTATATGAGGTACAATGAAATTCTCAACACAAAAAAGCAAAACTGATTAAATTAGCATTCTCCCCATCCTCTTCAACCCAGCATGGAAACATATTTAATAGGTCAGGTAAAATTAAGGCCTGGTCTACACCTAAAACTTAGGTTGACCTAGATACCTCACTCAGGGTATAAAAAAAATCATCAAAGCCCTGAGATGTAGCTAAGCCAACCTAAGCCACAATGTAAACGCTGCTAGGTTGACAGAATTCTTTCATTAACCTAGCTGCTGCATCTTGAGGCGGTGGACTTACTACAGAGACAGAAAAAGCCCTTTCATCCCTGTGGTAAGGCCGGGTCTACACTTAAAAATTAGATTGACCTAGCTATGTCATTCAGGGCTGTGAAAAAGTTCACACCTTGAGCACCATCGTCAGGTCAGCCTAACCCCTGGTGGTGTATATGTGGTAAGGTTGATGGAAAGATTCTTCCGTCAACCTAGCTATACCACCTCTCGGAGAGGTGGATTATCTACATCGACAGAAAAACCTCTTCTGTGGATGTAGAAAGTGTCTACATTTCGGGCAGGTCTACACTACAGCAGCGATCGATCGACCGGCGGCTGATTTAGCAGGTCTAGTAAAGACCCACCGAATCGACTGCAGATCACTCTCCAGTCGATCCCTGTACGCTACCTCCGATGAGAAGAGTAAGGTAAGTTGACGGGAGATTTTCTCCTGTCAACCTCCCGCGGTGTATACTCCACAGTAACTCAACCTAAGGTACGTCGACTCCAACTGTGCTGTTCACTTAAGAGTGCTACAATGGCATAGCTGCCGCTGTAAGTAGACAAAGCCTAAGTCTCCTGGTAACCAGAGACCCATTGAGAAGGAATTTATTACTCAACTGGAGTAAGTGTTTTTCACTAATCTGCTCAGTCCCCTGAAAAAGTAATGATGCAATGCATATAAATTCTCTTACGCATTAGAGTTGTTTCCTAAAGACTGATTCAAGTCTCTGCCTATGTCAGATCCGGGGAAGATGTGTATTCACACACCAGTTCAACAAATTTTAGGAAAGTGTTTTCTATTGATGAAAAAGTTGTAACCAATTGAAGGAGTTTGTTCATTTCCTTTACAATGGACATGCTCCTTTCATACATAGTATAATTAATAGATAAATTGACAAGTTTTGCCCTCAGGGTATTTACTATTCCAGCAGATGTCAGTGTAGCTTTATCAGTTACAATATAATCATGTTGTAAGCTAGATAAAAAATGATCTGCACGCCTGACAAAGCATACACAACAGTTCTATTTTCCTTCCAACTTTAATTCCTTCTTTAAAAATATAGACCCTCTTTTCAAAGATGAAACTACAACAATTTTACCACTAAAGCACAATCCTACAATTGCACTTTTTGAAGGAGACTGATAAAGCAGCTGACCATTTTATTACACTAGCTCTATGCTAGCCATTTGCAATACAAACTGATCCTTTGTTCTATTCTTTTCTAAGTATTACAGTAGCACCCAGATGCTCCAATCAAGCCTAGGCTCCCACTGTTCTGGTGCTATACAAAGATAAAATAAAACTGTTCGTGCCTCAGATAATCTATATGTTTCATAGATTCAGAGTTTAAGGCCAGAAGGGACCATCAGATCATCTAGTCTGACCTCCTATATATAACAGGCCCTTAAATTTCACCCAGTACTGAATCCTTTAATTGGTGTTTACTAAAGCATCCAGTCTTGATCCGAAATCATCAAGACATAGAGAATCCACCACTTCCCTTTGTAGTTTGTTCACACATTTAATCATCCTCACTTAAAAAAAATGTATGCCTTATTTCTAATTTGAATTTGTCTGGTTCTTCTTATGTTTTTCTCTGCTAGATAAAAGAGCCCTTCAGTACCCTGTACTTTTTCCCCAGGAAAATACTTATACAGTGTAATCAACTCACCTCTCAATGTGTTCTTAGAGAACCAAATACACTACTTCCTGCACATTTTAAATGGCAATTGAATAGCAAACAAGAATTATTCTTGATGTATTAAGAATGCACTTAATATATTTGAACCATTAATTTTTGTTTTTTTCCTTAGCCCCAGGGGTGCTACAGTTCTTTTAATGTGCACATTTGGAATCGAACAAAGTTTCAAGTTCTTTCAATTTGCAAGTCACAAAATTTCTTCAGAAGACAGCGATAATTAATTTTTAGTGTTAATAAAAATGGAAAGCATTATATCAGGACAACCAACATCCACTTTTGTCCCAAAAGTATTTGCAAGAACTGAGAACACAGCAATGGCCTTCAGTGTTAGGAAGAGCTAATTTCTAAACCAAGGTTGGAGGAGAGAAGTTGGGCCATTATGCTCTTTTTAAGCATTATCTTCACATTGTTTAAGCATTCCTGCAGCCCATCCCTTCCATAAGTATATTATATGGTTTGTGAAACTTAGCGGTGACCCCTCCCCCCCAAAAAAACCCTCAGGGGCCTTCCATTTACAGAAGTTTAGCCAAAAACATCTACCGCTCCAGTTAGCCTAGAGATGCCCAATTTTAGTTACTTAGCACATTAGCAAACTATTAATACATAGCAACAGAGGGTCCTGTGGCACCTTTGAGACTAACAGAAGTATTGGGAGCATAAGCTTTCGTGGGTAAGAA